CACAAGCCTACATATATTTTTAAATGTAGTGTAAACCTTTAGAGGTTTTTCTTTATCTGGATCTGTCTTTATCATCTCAGAAGTGCCAAGTACAATGCCCAAGAGTGCCAGGACGTCGAGAGCATATGGAAGCTGCTCCAATGCCTCTCAGTGGCCCGACAGGGCAGGCTGTGGCAGGCGGCAGGTTTACCTCTTTCTCTGTAAACCTAGGGGCATGGGGTCATCCCGCTCATTGACACCATTCTGTTATGATAAATCTTTCTGCCAAAAACCGCCTGAGCCCCACCGCCATATGTGCACTTTACACAAACCGCCCGCCCGAGTCAGGGCCCAAATGAATACACAGAAACTTGTATTAGTTACAGGGTATGTGTGAAGTTATTTCTCCATGTATCTTTACTAATACTTTTTTTAAAAAAGGAACATAACAAAAGTACAGTTCATAAAAAATTGACATATTGAACTTAGTTTATTACATTGGTTTGATTCTGTTAAGATGGTGAAAACAATGTACAACTAGCTAGAAGTGATATGTCACATACTTGATAGCAGAGTCCTTTTTAGAATGTGTAAACATCTCTCCTAGTTCAACATTGAGCAACAAAACAATGCAGTTAGATAATGGGTAAAAGGAAAATCAGGAGAGGAAGTCTGTAGTTTGCAAACAAGCATGTTTAAAAATGGTCAGGGAACATGAGAAATACAAATATTATATCTGTAAAGCGCTCTCTTGACCCTTATAGAATTCTTACAGATGAAAGTACTGGTGAGAATGCAGAGTAATAGCATGTTTTGAGCAGATGCAAAAACCTAGCTTCCACATTGGACATTTTTATGATGAGTATTTAAGTTTATTTGCCATATGATATAGCAGTTTTAGTACTGGATATTTATCCTGGAAGACAGAAATTTATGTTCACATAAATACCTGTTTATACCACACTTCCTTTTTCCTCTTCTTAAATATGAGTCTCCTTGCTATGTCACTTCCTGTCTGGAACACCACTTCTCTACTACATTTCCCAGAATCCTCTTTGACTCCTAGTCCAGCCTAACCTGCTGTCTCATTGGCCAAGCAAGTACTT